CAGATGTTCATCAGAAGTACAAAGGATAAATAAAGTGTGGTGCGTTTATGTTGTGGGATATTATGCAACAATGAAAAAGGACAACGTACTTCTTTGTATAATATATAGACACTCTCATATACAGAATGTGGAGTGAAAGAAGACAGATAATAAAGACCGAATTCTGCATAATTTTATCTACATAAAGTTTAAAACCAGGCTAAAGTAATCTGTGGGGGCAGAAATGAGAAGAGTGGTTACCTACTGACTGGGAGGCGTGAAGGGGCCATCTGGGGTGCTGGTAATGGTCTGTATCTTGACCTTGGTGCTGAAGAACACATGAGCTTACTCTGTAAGAATTCATTGAGCTGTACACTGATGACGTGATACTTCAAAAAAGTTTTATAATAAGGCAGGGAGGAGGAAGAGTTAGGGAAACAACAGACGTGTCTCTGTTGGCGAGCAGGTTGGATTCCACTAACTGTCCTTGAATCCATTTGCTCCTTTATCCAAAGGGACCACCACTCACTCCACCTGTTCGTGGCAGCAGAGGTAGTATACCTTTTTATTTCCTGGCACTTAGCCTTCCATCAAAGTTTGTGGGCCAAAATTTCATAAGCAGAGAAGCTTCTATTTAGAGCAAGGCTAAGGGCATTAGCGATTTATGACTTCATTCATTGATTCATTCATTCAGCCATCAAAGACACCATGAGTTATGTGATTCTGGAAGCCTTTGGCTAGAACTATTCATTTCTAGATGTCCTCTCATCAGCAACAGGACATTTCAACCCATCTGGGGAAAAAGTCAGAGGTGGGATGGGGACTTTAAAAACTGCCTTCTATCCCATGTTCCCTAGATTTCTGAATTGGGAGGCTAATTCCTGCCAGAGTGGAAGATGACAAGGTAGTGACAGCTTTGAAAGAGGGTGTACTAGTTTCCCAGGGCCCCCATAACAAAGTACTGCAAACCGGGTGGTGTCAACAACAGAAATGTCTTGTCCCATCGTTCTGGGGGCTAGAAGTCCAAGATCAAGGTGTGGGCAGGGTTGGTTCCTTCTGAGGGTGTGAGGGAGAATCTGTCGCAGGCCTCTCGCCTAGATTCTAGTGGTTTACTGGCCATCTTTGGCGTTCCTTGGTGTGTGTCTGTCTCCAAATTTCCCCTTTTTATAAGGACATCAGTCATACTGGACTAGGGCCCACTCTAATGACCTCATTTTAACGTGATTACCTCTGCAAACCTTATATCCTAATAAGGTCACGTTCTGAAGTACTGGGGGGTTAGGACTTCAACATACAAGCATATCTCGTTTATTGCACTTCGCTTTCTTGTACCTCACAGATACTGTGTTTTTTACAAATTGAAGGTTTGTAGCAACCCTCGGTTGAACAGTGCCATTTTTCCAATAGCGTTTGCTCACTTCGTTTCTCTGAGTCGCATTTTGGTAATTCTTGCAATGTTTCAAACTTTTTTTACTGTTATTGTATTCGTTATGGTGATCTGTGATCAGTGATCTTGGGTGTTACTATTGTCATTGTTTCGGGGTGCCACGAACCGCACCCATGTAAGATGGCGAACTTAATCGATAAATGTTGTGTGTGCGTTCTGATCGCTCCACTGCCTGGCCATTCCCCCATCTCTCCCCTTCTCCTTGGGCCTCCCTATTCCCAAGACACAACGATATCAAAATTAGGCCGATGAATAACCCTACAGTGGCTTCTAAATGTTCAAGTGAAAGGAAGGGTCGCATGTCTCTGACTTTAAATCAAAAGCTAGAAATGATGAACTTAGGAAGGCACGTCGAAAGCCAAGATAGGCGGGAAGCTAGGCCTCTTGCATGAAACAGTTAGCCAAGTTGTGAATACAAAGGCAAAGTTCCTGAAGGAAATCAAAAGTGCTACTCCAGGGAACACACAAATGATAACAAAGCAAACAACCTTATTGCTGATATGGAGAAAGTTCTAGTGGTCTGGATAGAAGATCAAACCAACCACAACATTGCCTTAAGACAAAGCCTAATCCAGAGCAAGGCCCTAACTCTCTTCAATTCTATGAAGGCTGAGAGGGGTGAGAAAGCTGCAGAAGAAAAGTGTGAAGCTAACAGAGGTTGGTTCATGAGACTGAAGGAGAGAAGCTGTCTCCAGAACATCAAAGTGCAAGGTGCAGCAACAAGGGCTGATGTAGGAGCTGCAGCAAGTTACCCAGAAGATCCAGCTAAGATCATTAATGAAAGTGTTTACACCAAACAACAGATCTTCAGTGTAGGCGAAACAGCCTTCTATTGGAAGAAGCTGCCATCTAGGACTCTCATAGCTAGAGAGGAGAAGTCAGTGCCTGGCTTCAGAGGACAGGGTGACTCTCTTGTTAGGAGCTGATGATGCAGCTGGTAACTTTAAGTTGAAGCCAATGCTCATTTACCGTTCCGAAAATCCTAGGAACCTGAAGAATTATGCTAAATCTACTCAGCCTCTGCTCTATAAATAGAACAACAAAGCCTGGATAATAGCACATCTGTTTACAACATGGTTTACTGAATATATGGAGCCCACGGTCGAGACCTACTGCTCAGAAAAAAAGATTTCTTTCAAAATATTACGGCTCATTGACAGTGTACCCAAATGCTCTGATGGAGATATGCGGTGAGATTCATGTTGTTTTCATGCCTGCTAACGTAACATCCATTCTGCGGCCCACGGATCGAGGAGTCATTTCGACTTTCAAGTCTTATTATTTTGGAAATACTTTTCAGAAGGCTATAGCTGCCACAGATAGTGATTCCTCTGATGGATCTGGGCAAAGCCAATTGAAGACCTTCTGGAAAGGATTCACCATTCTTGATGCCATTAAGAACTTTCGTGATTTGTGGGAAGAGGTCAAAATATCACATTAACAGGGATTTGGGAGAAGTTGATTCCAACCCTCTTGGATGACACTAGGGCGTTCAAGACTTCAGTGGAGGAAGGAACTGCAGATGTGGTGGAAATAGCAAGAGAACTAGAATTAGAAGTGGAGCCTGAAGATGTGTCTGAGTTGCTGCAATCTCATGATAAAACTGTAACGGATGAGGAGTTGCTTCTTATGGATGAACAAAGAAAGTGGTTTCTAGACATGGAAACTACTCCTGGCAGAGATGCTGTGAAGATTATTGAAATGACAACAAAGGATTTAGAATATTACATAAACTTAGTTGATAAAGAAGCGGCAGCGTTTGAGAGGATTGACTCCAGTTTTTGAAAGAAGTTCTACTGTGGGTAAAATGCTATCAAACAGCATTATATGCTACAGAGAAATCGTTTGTGAAAGGAGGAGTCGATTGACGTGGCAGACTTCATTGTCTCATTTTAAGAAATCGCCACGGACACCCCAACCTTCAGCTACTACCACCCTGCTCAGTCAGCAGCCGTCAGCATAGAGGCAAGACCCTCCACCAGCAAAAAGGTTACGACTCACAGGAGACTCAGATGACGGTTTGTGTTTTTTGAGCAATGACGTATTTTTACATTAAGATATGTACATTTTTAAAGACATAGTGCTATTGCACCACTTAACACATTATTGCCCGGGGGATTTTTGCAGAAACTAACGCCTGTGGCCGGCGATTTGTTCTGTAAGTGAATATTGAAACACCCACGTTTGAGTAAATATCAACAACATTTTTGCACTTAATGTATTTATTTGAAACTTTGAACATGTCTTACTAAAGCATTCTAATATTTCGTTAGAGTGTGATAGGCGGTATAGCAGGCACCTCTGTGCAGGGGAACAGAACATCTATTACAAATATGCCGTGTTTCACTGTGCTTTCCCCTGGAAGAGCAGACTCTAAACTTTCTGGCGGCATTTTTTATTTTAGTCCTGTGGGTATCATTTCCTCTAGAAGATATTCGTTTATTTTACCTGGTGGTCGACAGGGTGGGTCTTTGCAGGGGGCTCTTTCAGAAACGCCACAAGAAGGACCAGGTGCGGGACTACCACTACGTTCACCAGGATTGTCAGTTACCCATTCTCTAACAAAAATTGCTTGTAAGTCTTTTTATTCTGTGCACTAAGGCTACAGTAAATTTTTTTTTTTTTTTTTTTTTTTTGTGGTATACGGGCCTCTCACTGTTGTGGCCTCTCCCGTTGCGGAACACAGGCTCCAGACGCGCAGGCTCAGCAGCCATGGCTCACGGGCCCAGCCGCTCCGCGGCATGTGGGATCCTCCCGGACCGGGGCACGAACCCGTGTCCCCTGCATCGGCAGGCGGACTCTCAACCACTGCGCCACCAGGGAAGCCCAGGCTACAATAAATTTTAAGCGTATTGAATACACCACAATTAATCAAATAGAAACCCACTTTCTTATACCGTTTTCGAGTTTTCCAGAGGATATTGAAGTTTGCCAGATATTGATCAGATCGATCAGCTCCTTTCATATATTTGTCGTACTCTAATATACAAGTGGGCTTAGTTATCTGATGGCCAGTCCTCCTGTCTAACTTTCCTGTAGATGCTGTGGAGGAGTCATGAATAATGTCGCCATGCAGACTAACCTCTTGTCTTTCCATATAAGAAGAATCACTTCTCCCTTCTGTAAGAATGTCATTTCTCCCCTCTGTAGATTTTTAGCTTTCTCCTTTAATTGGTTTGGTAGATCACGACTCTCTCTTATAGTCCCACAAACTGTTTTATTTTTCAACAATATTTCAGATGTGGACACACTGTTGTAATTATTGTCTTGGTAAATATGGTGCCATGAACCAAGATAAGGTTGTAGGACCGATAATATTGTTTCTTGCAGTTTCTTTCCTTCACCCGTGTAAATCTCAAGGTTGCGTATATATCCGGTTTCACTTTCGCTAAGCACCCTGACCAAAATTCCATATCTTGTAAGTTTTCCGGGATTATAGGTTTTGAATCTGAGTCGTCCTCTCCACTTTATCTTTGCCTCCTCAAGTGATAGCCTTGTTTGGGTATATAGATCGGTTGAAATTTTGGTAGAAAATAATACAAAAGAGATTTAACTTTTGAAATTCTGTCTGCAGGAAGCGGAGCTTCTGAGTTACCGTTAAAGTGAAGAAATGTCATTATTTGTTTGAACCTTCTTCTCGTCATAATCTTTGGAAAGGTAGGTGTTTCAAGTAAGGGATCAGTCGGCCAATATTCTTTCCAGGGTGACTTTCTTATCCCATCAAAATTACTAATCCAAGAAACTTCTCCGTGTCACTATTGGTTACATCAGTCCATTTTAAAGCCTTATCATACTTTTTATATGATTTTTCATTGGGTTGGTGATACAAGTTTGTTTGAGAAGCGACCAACTTGAAAAAGCCGTTCCAAAAATTAATTCTGTTGTTTTACTAACACTTTGCAGGTTATTACATTCAATAGTTACACCTGACACACCTGTAAAGTCTTCTAATTTTCGTGAAATGTGAAGTCTTCGAATTTTCAATCCACTCTTCTGTAGAAGCAAAGGAGCATTCTCCAGCACCGTGAGTTTCATTTTCATTTTCCGTATCAGAATCAATCACTAAGGTTTTTTTGTCTTTGTTTGGTCTAACATTCACACTGTCTGAATCAGAACTATATTCTGAAGAACTGTCATCTTCTGAGATGCTAGTATATATGTTGCTCGGACAATCAGAGAAAGTATTGGTATCTGCATAAAATTCACCAGGAAATTTTTCTTCACTCCAAACTTCGCGACACGTCATTTTTGAAAATTTTACTGTAGTAAACTTGCATTTATAATATACACAAGGTTGGAACAAAAACCTAAAGGAGCAAAATGTGAATGATAGTGAGAATCATAAGTTGTATAATGGACCCTTGATCAGTCTTAAGCTCTAACAGCTTCGCATGGTGATGTTAATTGTATCACTCTCTAAAAACGTATTGATATGTCTCCGGTCAATAAGGTTCGGGTAGCAAAAGATGTATTAATACGTCTCCGGTCAATAGATTGTTAATTGACTATAGTATAGTGTAAACGTAACTTTCATATGCAATGGCAAACCAACAATGGGTGTGACTTGCTTTATTGTAATATTTACTTTATTGCGGTGGTCTAGAGCCAAACCCAAAGTATCTCCGAAGTCTGCCTGTATATTTTGGTGGGGGATACAATTTAGCCAGAGGGGATGACTCCATTCAACACTGTCCTTCCCTGTCCCTACACTGTGTCTGGCTGATGAGGGACCGGTAGCTTCTTTTTCTTTTTAAATTTAATTTTCATTCTATATTGGAGTACAGTTGATTTACAATGTTGTGTTAGTTTCAGGTGTACAGCAAAGTGATTCAGTTATTCATATACACATATCCATTCTTTTTCAGATTCTTTTCCCATATAGGTTATTATAGATTATTGAGTAGAGTTCCCTGTGCTATACAGTAGGTCCTTGTTGGTTAACTATTTTATATATAGTAGTGTGTATATGTTAATCCCAATTCCTAATTTTTCCCTCCCCCCACCTTTCCCCTTTGGTAACATAAGTTTGTTTTTGAAGTCTGTGAGTCTATTTCTGTTTTGTAAATAAGTTCGTTTGTATCATTTTTTCAGATTCCACATATAAGTGATATCATGTGATATTTGTCTTTCTCTATCTGACTTACTGCACTTAGTATGGTAATCCCTAGGTCCATCCATGTTGCTGCAAATGGCATTATTTCATTCCTTTTCATGGCTGAGTAATATTCCATTGTATTGGGCTTCCCTGGTGGCGCAGTGGTTGAGAGTCCGCCTGCTGATGCGGGGGACATGGGATCGTGCCCTGGTTTGGGAGGATCCCACATGCCGCGGAGCGGCTAGGCCCGTGACCCATGGCCGCTGAGCCTGCGCGTCCAGATCCTGTGCTCCGCAACAGGAGAGGCCACAACAGTGAGAGGCCCGTATACTGCAAAAAAAAAAAAAAAAAAAAAAAAATTCCGCTGTATTTATGTACCACATCTTCTTTATCCATTCTGTCAATGGACATTTAGGTTGCTTCCATGTCTTGGCTCTTGTAAATAGTGCTGCAATGAACGTTGGGTGCATGTATCTTTTCGAATTATGGTTTTCCCTGGATATATGCCCAGGAGTGGGATTGCTGGATCATATGGTAGTTCTATTTTTAGTTTTTTTAAGGAACTTCCGTACTGTTCTCCATAATAATTGTACCAATTTATATTCCCACGAACAGTGTAGGAAGGTTCCCTTTTCTCCACGCCGTCTCCGCATTTATTGTTTGTAGACTTTTTAATGATGGCCACTCTGACCGGTGTGAAATGATACCTCATTGTAGTTTTGATTTGCGTTTCTCTAATAATTAGTGATGTTGTACAGCTTTTCATGTGCTTTTTGGCCATCTGTATGTCTTCTTTGGAGAAATGTCTATTTAGGTTTTCTGCCCATTTTTTATTGGGTTGTTTGTTCTTTTGATATTGAGCTGCATGAGCTGTTTGTATATTTTGGAGATTAATCCTTTGTTGGTTGCTTCATCTGCAAATATTTTCTCCCATTCTGTGGGTCGTCTTTTTGTTTTGTTTACAGTTTCCTTTGCTGTGCAAAATGTTTTAAGTTTAATTAGGTCCCATTTGTTTATTTTTGTTTTTATTACTCTGGGAGATGGATGCAAAAAGATATTGCTGCGGTTTATGTCAAAGACTGTTCTGCCTATGTTTTCCTCTAAGAGTTTTATAGTATCTGGTCTTACATTTAGGTCTTTAATCCATTTTGAGTTTATTTTTGTGTATGGCATTAGAGAATGTTCTAGTTTCATTCTTTTAATGTAGCTGTCCAGTTTTCCCAGCACCACTTATTGAAGAGACTGTCTTTTCTCCATTGTATTGTCTTGCCTTCTTTGTCATTGATTAATTGACCATAGGTGTCTGGATTTATTTCTGGGCTTTCTATCCTGTTCCATTGATCTATATGTCTGTTTTTGTGCCAGTACCATACTGTTTTGATGACTGTAGCTTTGTAGTATAGTTGAAGTCAGGGAGCCTGATTCCTCCAGCTTCATTTTTCTTTCTCAGAATTGCTTTGGCTATTCGGGGTCTTTTGTCAGTAACTTGTTAAGCATGTGGGGAGGGGAAAATGGTTGGCCTGAAGGAGAATTAAAGTGTCCCCCAGAGAGAAGGAGGAAAAGCTATGGAAACATCATCATGGCTGCAGGCACAGGCTCAGAAGCCAGGCAGGTTTAGTTCAAATTCTGGTTCCACGCATGGACCCCCACTCTTATTGTATGACCTTGACCAAGTTAAAGTTAGGTTCTTTAAGCCTCTGTGTCCCCATCTCTAAAGTTGGGACTCGACTTCCCACTTCCCAGGGTAGTCCTAGGGCTCAGCTTCGATCGTACATGTGAGGTGTATTTTGCTGGGCTTCATGCCGGACAGCACATAAGACAAGTGAGGAATTATTGTTTGGTCCTGGAAGAGACTCAAGGAGGGCAGAAACGTTCAGTCGGGGTTGTAGTAGCTGTGGAGAGAGCAGTTTTAAAATGATTAACCATTTTTTCAGTGATTTAAGGCATATAGGGGTCTGTTTTTTAAAATGCAAACCCCGTAGAAGGGTTCAAGGTGAAAAGGGCCTCTCCGCAGTATATGCCCTAGGCCTTCAGGCCCACATCCCTAGAATTTTTTTTGATACACAGATGGGACCACAGCAGATGCTATCTGTCGTACCCACTCACCTCCCCTGGATCACCTCCACCCACTCCCAGAGGCACCTGCAGACATTTCTGTCAAAGTTTACCTCTTCCTGTATCTCTCTGCGTCAGGATAATCGCTGGCCAAGGAGATATCTGCTGGAACTTGGGGTTGGCTGGAAGTAAGTGTCCAGGAATGAATGCCCCTCGACCAATGAAGGACTGGAGTTGGTGGATAAATACCCCAGCTTCCTAGCCCCTTGGTGGCATGATCCTGAGGCACGTTCCACACAGACCCTTAGAGGGTCCCCACGGGACTGAGCCCCAGATGCCTACAGCAGGAACCCATTCACTGATACAGCCTTTATGGGCATCCCCCCTGCCCTGTCTTGCTTCCCTCTTCCTCACTGTGCTTCCTGGATCACCTCCCAAATAATGACATGCACCCAGATTCTTGTCTCAAGGTGTGCTTTGGGGGAAATCCAACGAAGACTGGGACAATACTGTCGCACACTGGTCTGCACGGAACATTCTTCAGCCAGCAGTATGGCTCCCAGACCTTTTCCCATCAGCACATACTGAAGGTCTGTTTATCATTCGAAAGTCTGGGTGCGCCATGTTTAATTTAGCCAGTCCTCTTCCGATGGCCATTTAGGTTGCTTCCAGGTTTGGCCTGTTATGAACAATGCAGCAGTGAGCAGCTCCGTGCACGTATCTTTCTGCAAATGGGCAAATCGATCTGAAGGATTACTTTCTAGAAGTCCAATTGCTAGGTCAAAAGCTAAGGGAACAGTTTAGCTCAGGACCCGAGGGTGGAGCTGGAGTTCAAGATTGGAGGTGATAGCAGTAGAGTGGCTCAAGCCTGGGGACACTGTTTGCAGTAAGGAACCAGCATGCCTGAAGAGGGCCTGCCCCCCAGGAGATTCTACCCAAGGGTCTCTGTGCATTTGCAGGGGGCTTCTGTGTGCTCTTTATGCTGGGTGGTGGGCCCACTGCGGCAGAAGGGGCTTCCCTTCTGCTTCCCCTGGAGTCAGTGTTTCCAAGAAGAATCCCACCGTCCGTTTCACCTGCCCACACCCCGCTGCCACGTTCATGCCGTATAGTTGTTTTTCGAGCCAAAGTCTCCATTATTCAGATGAAGAACGACTTGTTTTGAGAGAACGCACTTCTGAGATCTTCCTTCCGGCTGATGAAATTAATTTTGAAGGTAGGAGGAATCGGGGAGGAGGCCAGGAACGAGTCCATAGCACACGCAGGGAGTGTTTTCTGTAATTTGGCGACGCTTTCCACTCGTGTACACTTACAGCGTTTGCCTGCTCATAAGCCTGTGCAGAAACAAATTTTAAAAGCATCAGAATACTTCTTTGTTCTCCTCTCGAGTTATTTTCTGGCTGCTGGCTGCCTACTTGATCTCACCTTAAGATGCAGAGAAAGGTGCCCCAGACCTTGCTCTGGGGACTTGAACTATCAGAGAGATGAGACGACCAAGGCTGGAAGCGGCAATGGCAACCACTGCTCAGCAGGTCAAGGTTAAGGGCAGAGAGGAGGGAAAGGAGTGCTCTTTCCCTGTCTTTTCCTTTTTCTTCTTTCTCTGGTGTTTCCTTTTCATCCTCTTTGTTTCCTTTTGTCATTGGAGGCGGGGAGCAGGGGCAGAGAGGACACACACCACGCAGCCAGGACTCATGTGGCCTTAGGGGATGTTCTCTCAGCTGCATGGGGACCATCCCACTCCTGGAGCTGTGAGTCATGGGGTCTGGAGAGAGAGGTGGCAAAGGGAGCTGGTCCTTCCTGGCACCCCGGCAGAAGTGGGAAGTTGAATTCTGACCTTGTTGCCGAAGGTGTGCAATTCAAAGGAGGGATGTGGT